AAAACAGGACAGGAAAAACATACTAATTCTAGCTGTGCTTCCGTGTGGACTCAAGACAAAATTCAAGATTTCTAAATTAGAATGTTTGGGACAAAAATGGAGTTACAGAGATTATAGCAGGGGAAATTAAAGATAACAGGTCAGTGCCCTGTTAAATCATTGAGAATAAAGTAGCTTCATCTCTGAAACCATATGTCATCTCTACCCTAAACTCACTGCCTGAGACTGCTCTTGAAATCATAAGCAAATCCTCCTTTAACCACACTTATGATGTCAGCACGTGTCATGTAAGATCTGAAAACCTCTGCCCTACATTCCTGAGAAATGAGGATAGCAAAAGACAACATTTTAGTAGGATCGTGAAACAGGTTAGCCATTGGATATCATGAAAGAGTCTCCTGAACCCTAGAGGCCTCTGACCATAACTTGAACAGTGTTGGGTTAGGAGAATAATTTGTGATAACAACAACAAAATCCTAAAACCTCGGTAATTTCAGGTAATTGAAATTTACTTCTTGCTCATGTAGCCTTATCAGGAAAAGGCTGTGCTCCACTTCCATTTTGGAATTGGAGCTGGAGTTCTGTGTCTTTGAGGTCTGCCTCCTGATGTTGATCCTGGGAGAGAGAAAGGGAGTGGATGATTTTTTCAAGAAATACTTGTGAGCTCAGCCTTCAAGTAAACATTACTGTTTTGCCCACATTTCACTGGACACGGTATCCAGAGTTGCAAGGAAGCCTGGAAACATAGTCAGCTGTGTGCCCAGGAAGAAGAAGATGCGGTTCAGTAAATAGGAGGGCAGTCTTAAATACAGCACCTAAGTACACTTAAATACAACATTAATGATTTCCTGTAAGTGCCTCTGGATTGGGTGTTGATATAAAGCATTGCAAATCAGTCAACAATACAAGATAATCAAGTTATATTAGTTCATATAACTCATACAAGTTATACATATAACTTGATTATCTTGTATTGTTGACTGATTTGCAATTATTTTTATACACAAAGAAAAATGCATGTGTTATATTCAATAACATTTATTGTGCACCTGTCATGTCCAAGCAGTGTCCTGGGTCGTGGGTAAGGAGAGGAAGAATAGACATAAAGGCCCTTGTGTACTTCCTTACAATCTAGTGGGAGTAGGTGGTCAATAAAAAGATAATAAATATGAAATAATAGTGAATTGTTATATTAAAAAAAAAAAGAAGAGACAAAAGAAAGTGGGAGTCAATGCTGCCTTAGAGTGGGTCATTCAGAAAGGTCTTTCCTCAAAGATGTTTGAGTGAAGAACTGAAGAATAAGAAAGATTCATGGGTACAGAGCCCTGGGGGAGAGAGACTGCAGACCTAGAAAAGAGCAAGTTCAAAGTGCTGAGCATGAGAACAGCCTAGGGTGCTGAAGAAACAGAAAGTGTCCATGTGTTTTGAGAGGAGAGTGAGGTTAGCAGCCTGGGGTGTGCTGGGCAGGTGGTCTGGGAAATGAACACCCAGGACGTTGTGTTCCATTACAGAGAGTTGTGGCTTTAACCTCAGGGCAATGGGAAGCCAGGTGTGTATCATGATTTGATTTGTGTTTCTAAAAGTTGATTCAGATTGTTTAGTGGAGCATAGACTTGGGGAGCTCTAAGTCCAAGGTTACTGTGCTTCTGCATAATAATTTATGTCATTGCCCTAGACAACTTGAAGCAATAAATCAATCTCAATATCCTTAATTCAGTGTAGGCTGTTTTTTACAAATCACTGTGTTTACTTTTTGTTTGTTTTTGCAGCTCACAGGGGCCATATATTACTGTGCTGGTCATATTACTGGTGTCTAATTCACAAATGATTATTTTCCCCAAAGAATTTTTTTTTAAGCAATCAGTGCTCTCACCATTAATACAATGACAAAAATACATTTTTTCAATTCTCAGAACTGGAATTTCTCTCAATGTTGTCTGGCATGAGTTATAAAAATGACAAATGTTAGCCTTCAAACTAGGGAACAGAATACCAACTACATTCTCACAGGAATTACAGGAACAGCTCTGCAAGGTTGAAATATTCTCATCAAAAAGGAGATAGTGAGTAGTACTAATGACCATTGTTAAGTATTATGCAAAACAGTAAAAAGAATGTAATGAATAATAAAGAATCCAGATAACTGAGGATGAGATGGTTAGAGCCCATCACCGACTCAATGGACATGAGTTTGAGTAGCTCTGGGAGATAGTGAAGGACAGGGAAACCTGGCGTGCTGCAGTCCATGGCATCCCAAAGAATCGGACACAACTTAGCAACTGAACAACAACAAAAATAACTGAAGTAGGCAAGCTTAATGGCTGGATCTTTTCAATACCAGTAAAACTGCTAAATGATGATAGGCAGTTTGCATAATTCTCTACAAAAGAGAATTATTCTTTTCTTGTACACAGTAGGTATTAACATACGCATTTCTTGAGAAATTGATCAAATACCCATTGACTTAGATGAAGGAAAAAAGTCTCTGCTAGGAGGAGACCTGATCCAAATAAACTCTTTTTCTTCATTTCTGTTTCTTTAATGGAAATTCCATGCAGGTATTTCTTTCTGTTTTTCTTTTCCAAAAAGGCAAAAGAACTGTTTTCAAAACACTTATGCAAAAGAATTTCTTTGTTAATTCTAAATTTATTGTTGTTGTTATTCTAACTGTCCTGCCATAAAGTGAGTCTAAGTAGAGAATGCCTCTAAATTGTAGGGGAACAATCCTACAATCCTTTCAGCTTCAACAGATCAGTGCAATTTACTAGTTAAAAAACTCACAAAAAATTAAGTATTTCCTTTGTAGAACTAGTGACATCAGTCTGCAGTTATGGGCTTGTGCATTCACACCCAGAGATGCACTAAGAAGCATCCTCAGATACACACGGACATACACGCACACATGGTCTTAATACCCAGAACTAATTCTATCCAGAAAGAGTGCTAGCCGTTAATATTTCAGCCCCAGACCATTATTAAGTGTTGCCTTACAAAACATTTCTAACTTCGTACAACTTTTGATTTATCACTAATATCATAGTAGCAAAGACAAATTAAATTTCACAATCATCTTTTAAATTGAATACCATGTGTCTCCAAGATAAATCATAGCCTTTGATGCCTTTGCCCATAAATAAGAGAAAATCAATTCAAAGTAACTGAGACTATAGGGACGTGTATTGTTTCAAAAAGCAAGAAGCTCCGAGAGTTGCAGGTCCAGACAAGGTGAATACAATGCCTAAGGACTCACAGTTCTCCATGGTTCCATTCTGCTCATCATTTGCTGTGGTTGTTTAGTCACTAAGTCATTTCTGACTCTTTTGTGACCCCATGGACCGTAGCCTGCCAGACTCCTCTGTCCATGGAATTCTCTAGTCAAGAATACTGGAGTGGGTTGCCATTTCCTTCTCCAGGGGATCTTCCTGACCCAGGGATCAAACCCACATCTCCTGCAATGCAGGCAGATTTTTTTTTTTTTTTACCACTAAGACCCTTGGGAAGTCTCTGCTCATCATGAGTCAGCATTTTCTTTCTTTAGCCTCTGCCAGCATCCTAAGTTGCCACCACACATGATCCCAAAGGGGCCAACACCAACATGACGACAGTCGGAGCTGGGAAAGCTATACGCCTTGTCTCTATATATTATCAAGTGAAACATTCTCAGAAGCCCTCCAATAGGTTCAGTGGTACGTTATCCTGGCTGCATCCTCACTTCAGAATCAATTCCGGGAAATGGAAACGAGACTACCACTTGTGGTTTATAACAACTAAGATGCTGCAGAGGCTCATGATAAATCAGGCTTCCCCGAAAACACACACGGGGCTTCCCAGGTGCCTCAGTGGTGAAGAATCCACCTGCCAAGGCAGGAGACGCAAGTTCAATACCTTGGTCAGGATGATCCCCTGGAGAAGGCGGTGGTAACCCACGTCAGTATTCTTACCTGGAGAATCCCATGGACAGAGGAGCCTGGCGGGCTGCAGTCCATGGGGTCACAAAGAGTCGGATACAGCTGGGTGACTAAGCAGGAAAACGCCTCAGTGAGCAGGGAAGGACAGACCCCTGGACTGGGGGAGACTGAGAAGACTGGGGGGAGACTGGATGTTGAGGAGACCGAATCCCGAGGAGCCTTTGAAAACTATCATGGGATGAAGAGGAAAACAGGATCGGGAATTCCCTGGTGGTCCAGTGGTTAGGACTCCTCACTTTTACTTCCCGAGCGTCTGGGTTCAATCCCCGGTCAGGGAAGTAAGATCCCGCAAGGTGCACGGCCCAGCCAAAACCACAACAACGAAGGGGCAACACAGTGCAGTCAGCCGGAGGAGAGGGCTTCATGATTTACGGTGCTGCACTTTCAATGCTGTCTCAGCGGTTTAAAGACTCTTTTAAATCACACGCAGCAGTCGTATCTAGAATAGGTGGATGTTTACCCAAACCGTGACTTACTTATGGATTTTGTTGTTGGTTAGTCGCTCAGTAGTGTCAGACTCTTTTGTGGCTCCATGGACCGTAACCTGCCAGGCTCCTCTGTCCATGGGGATTCTCCAGGCAAGACTACTGGAGTGGGTTTTCATTTCCTCCTCCAGGGGGTCATCCCAACCTAGGGATCGAACCCATGTCTCCTGCGTCTCCTGCATTGGCAGGCGGATTCTTTACCACTGCACCACCTGAGAAGCCCTATCTATGGATTCATTTTTGCAAAAAAAAAAAACTGTTGTCTGATTATAAAGACAATGAGTATGATTTTTACTTGATTAGATGAAGGAATGACATTGTAAGGTTTTTTGAAGTGGCTCTTTTAATTGATAAAAATCTTGTAGTAATAATATTATATAAATAACATTATAGTCTTAACATTATTATGCAGCTTTTATTTAACCATTTAATTTCCCTTAATAGGTTTATAAGGGAGAATCCTGAATAATTCAATGATATCTTACTCAGTATCATTTTAAGTCATAAATACAGAATAAGACTAATTGTCTTTTTCTCAATTTTTAAGATCCTGACTTTAAGGACCTTGGAGTTTTGAAACCATTACCAGGTTGGTAAAACAGATATTTAATACTGTTCAGAGACCTTTGTTTTCTGCTGTGATATATACTTTTGGTTTATTACTCAAGTTCCATTTTTGTATGTTTGTCTGGCATCTCGTTATTTAGTGTGTGAGTTTGAGATGGGCGGTCCTGAAGGCATTGTGGAGTCTATACAAATTATGAAGGAAGGCAAAGCTTCTGCTAGCGAGGCTGTTGATTGCAAGTGGTACATCCGAGCACCCCCGCGATCCAAGGTCAGTCTCAAGGTGGAATGCAGGTTTGACAGACAACTTGAAAAGTGTCTCCAGCATTGCATTGCTTTGAACCAACCAGACATGCTCAGTCCATTTCAGAGTGCAATCATAAGCGATCATTTTATTTTTGTTTTGAAATGTAGCGTATCTTCCTTTGTTTAATGTAACTTTCAAGGTCATGATAATATGGAAAGAATGCTTAAGAGATCCTTGGATAATCTGGACAAGAGACTCTAGGGTAAATCTACCTCTAAAAATGGAATGAAATGTTGTAAGCAAGCTATGGTTTAATTAACTTATGCCCGTATTGTCAGTATCTGCAGTTTGCTTGCTTTTTAACTTAAAATCTGTGAAAGAAATTGTCCAGGGCTCACAAAGCATGTATTTCTGGTGTGTAACATTGTGGTCCAGATTCAGACTCTGAGCTCTGTTTTGGAAACACTTGTTTAGAACAACTCTACTCATTCTATTATGGATGCATCTTAAGAAATACTGGGATGAGAATTTTGTACCGGTAGCAATCACTGGTTTAGCGTGTTGATTATTTGCTTATTCTCCCTTTATTGTCATCCTTTAGAAGTAGAATATACTTACAATAAAGCTTTACTGATTTATTAGATTTGGAGTTGCCAATTTATTGAGGTTGAACAGTTTGTTATTTAATTAATTGACCTAGTGTGTCTATAACCTCTCAAGGACTATGCTGAAGAAATGAAAAATTATGCTGTTACATTTCCAGTTGATTTTTAGACAACTATGTATCTAAATAATCCATGAAATAAGACAAGATCATTGAGGTATTTATAAGGTGTAGTAGAGTGAAGGAGAAGACCACTTGCCCCTGGTGAGGAGAATCAAAGGCACGATCAAGTTGCATTGCAAGGCATCTTCTGAGCTTTGATGAGAAATGATGCTCTCGGGTAGACAGGGTGGGACTTGCCCTGTTAGGTAGAGTATATAGCTTCCCTAAGGTCATGGGATCATAAGAGATTCCCCCCTCTCAGGAATTAATTGCATGTGACCACATGAAAGCAGGATTCTGGAGGTGAATGGTTAAGCTGAAGGATTCTGTTAGTGCCCTTCAAGAGCCCAGATTCATCCTGAGTGCATTAGTGATGCATGTGCGTGTGTGTGTGCTAAGTCCCTTCCATCATATCTGACTCTGAGACCTCACGGACTGTAGCCCACCAGGCTCCTCCATCCATGGGATTCTCCAGGCAAGAATACTGGAGTGGCTTGCCATGCCCTCCGCTTAGTGATACATACAAGAGTGTGAAACAGCAAAGTGATGTGGTCAGAGTGTGTATTTTCAAAGAAACAGATTTTCCTTGTCTAGAAAGGACAGAGTTGTCATTCCAAGCTAGATATGAAAGAATTTGGTGACTGGATATTCCAAATAAGGGAAAAATAAGACTCATCTCCAAGTGAATTGGTATTTCAGAAAATATTTTTATCTTTCTTCTCTTGATTTCCCATGAATATGTCTTTGGGGTTTGCATATAATTTGGAAGTGTGACATATTTTCCCCAAACTTCTGGTGATGGAGATTCAGACCCTGGTCCAGTTTCCAGCTTTATCACTACAGGTCTCTCTGCATCAGAACAAATCTTTTAAAAGGTTAATTAACTTTATTAAAATTATGATTTATGAAGAAAGACATAGTACTACTTCCATTAAAAAAATCCAAGGCTACTGGTGACATAAAACCCAACCTCCTACGAAGATTATGCAGGAGTTCGATTGCAGTTTATTATGTTCTTACATAATTTGTGGATTCACATGTGCTATTCATTTTCCTTCAACTCTATGAGTGAAAGCTATTTTAGATTTTTTTTTCAACAGGAAGTATCTGAGCCCCACCTCATGGTCGTAACTGGCATCTCTGTCACCACAGTGTCAGAGAGAGGGTGTCAATGAAAGTGCGAACCCACACCGTTTCCTTCCAGCTGGTAAATAGACCATCTTTTGTACAGTCCCAGAACAATGCCAGGTGTACCTGCCTGTTACAGAATCTGGCATTCTGTGACCCAAGGAGGAAGCCGCCTGCAGAGCTGGGCAAAGATGACTCTATTGTGACAGCCCTTCTCCGTTAAATTAAAGGTTAGAGAATAGGAAGTGGCTTTGAATAACTGTTGAAAAAAGCAAGAAGTGGAGATGACACTTTACTTGGGCTTTCTATTTATACTTACGTCCTCGCCGCCTAGGAGAACAGACTATCAAAGCACAAGTTAAACTTGAAATGGCTCCTGTGAATATGTGAATGATAGCTGGTGATTGCCACATTGAAAGTGCTAAATAGCTTACTGGGGTTCCATTAAAATTTACATCAAGTGTATGTTGCTTCTCAGCCCTTTCATAAATAGAAAATACACTATCTGATATCACCTTTGTTTGAGAATTGTAATACAGATGATTGCCTTTAATTAGAATGCGATTAACCCAGATTTCTTAGAAATTGGAATACCAGAGCCTGAAAGAAAGTTGGAAATCCATTACTGATAAGTGCGTCTAACAGATGAATAAGCAGAGTCAGGATAGTGAAGCTGGTTAACAATGAGATGTTGAAATATGCTTCTGTAAGCAACTCTTTGGCTTTCATATAGATTCTCGAGAAAGTGAGATGGGAGCATATTAATGGTGTCTAGTTCTGGGTCTGGTTCAGTAAAGAACCACTAGAGAAGGATATTGGATGAGCCAATGATGGTAACAATGTTAATTTCCTGAAGGTTGGAGCTTATTTCCCTCGAGGTTCGTGCGTACGTGTGTGTGTGTGTGTGTGAAGTCACTTCAGTTGTGTCCGACTCTGCAACCCTATGGACTGCAGCCCGCCAGGCTTCTCTGTCCATGGGATTCTCCAGGCAAGAACACTGGAGTGGGTGGCTGTGCCCTCCTCCAGGGCATCTTTCCGACCCAGGGATGGGACCTGTGTGTCTTACGTCTACCTGCATTAGCAGGTGGGCTCTTGATCACTAGTGCCATCTGGGAAGGGCCTTCCCTCTAGGTACCCAGTGCCAGGAAAAATCTATCATTCAGTTAACACTCATGGAAAAAATAAACTGATATACATATATATATATATATATGAAAGGACATAGTGACAATCTATAAACATTTGAAGAACTGTCAGGAAATAGAAGTAAGAGAATAAGACTTAATTCACATTTTTTTAAGTATTGCAATTTATTTAAATGCTTGGATCTAGAGAAATATTCATTATAAAGAAGGTTTTTGTTTTTTATTTTCATAATGGAGAGGCCCAAGGATCAAATGAGAATTCACGGGAGGAATCCAACTAAAGTTTGGCTGGGATTTTATATAATAATTAAAAAGTCAAGTTATTTTCTGGCATAGATAATACTAAATTCCTTTTAAGACCAAAACCTGATGAATCTATGATAAGTAACTGCTCAAATATTTGATTAGTTAGTAGAAGGATTGAAGCAAGTCACTCTCTTTACCCCCAATCCAGTGTGATGTCACAAAACCACAGTGTTTGGGGAAATCAACAAATTTGTTAAGACAGGAAAATTAAAAAGTCAAAAGACTTATAAAAGTATATAATTTTAAGATTATTTATTTAATAATTAAGGTTTGGGGAGAGTAAAACTATAACTTTTATTAACTCTCCATCATTTAAAGCTTCAAAATAATTTTTTAAATATTACTTAATTCAAAATGTTGTGAATAATATTAAGACAAAAAAGAACAAATTGACAAATACAATAAATTAATATTTTATAGTGAAGTTGAGTTTTCGGACTCATGTGACCTTAGCAAAGAACACAGTGCAGCTCACCAAACTTCTGACCTACAGAACTTGGAGATAATACATGGGCATTATTTAAAGCAGACTTCCCTGGGTGGGGGGCAGTGGTAAAGAATCCACCAGCCAATGCAGGAGATGCAAGACACGTGGGTTCGATCCCTGGGTTGGGAAGATGCCCTGGAGAAGGAAATGGTAACCCACTCCAGTATTCTTACCTAGAGAATCCCATGGACAGAGGAGCCTGGCAGGTTATAATCCATGAGGTCACAAAGAGTCAGACATGACTGAACGACTGAGCACAACCACATAACAACATTGCTTAAAGCTGCTCAGTTTGTGGGGATTTGTTATGGGAGCAAGGAGAAAATGAGTGCCTAAGCAAAGGGTAGCAGCAAAAATTGATGACAATGGTAAGATTAGGGGTTCTAAAGACTGAGCCTGCCCTTATTATCTCCAAAAATTAAAATAAAAATTGGATAAACAACATGAAAAATTTAACTGACTAGAGAACTACCTATGACAGTGTTATGGTTCAACTTTGTTTCTAAATGAAATCTCAGTTTGTAGCATCAGATTTTGGAAAGTTACGGAGATGCTTGTCTGTGCAGGGCAGAAAATCACGTTAATGTTGTTTTATCTGGGTTTGTTGTGTGGGGTGTGTGTTTTTCCAGCACTTCAGAACACAGTATGATGTTCTGGTTTTCTCCTCTGAATAAAGTGCACGCTGCTCTCCTCCAAATTCATGGGCTATACTACTTAAAATTAGAAGGCCCTGCAAGTGCAGCAACCACAGAAGTCCTGGGCAACACGCTTTTTAGAATGTAGCTTTATCTGTCAAAGTGTAAAGTAATATTGACACTGTGGTCAGTGTTTCTCAGACTGTTGTGTATTTAATTTGTATTTATCATGGAGAAAACTGTTCTGGCAAGTCTTAAAAATGACCCCAAACAGTGTTTGTTTTTTACACATCATTGGGAGACAGACGATGGAAGCAGGTTGAATGGTTGGTATTAAATGTTTACAAGTAAATTAACTTAGTAAATTGTTAGCCAGATATCTTTGGTTTAAATATGCAAAAGGGATTCTACTCTCCTATTAGTGTGACTTGGAAGACAGACATTACTAGAAATTGCTTATATGTTTTGAAGCCTCCCACGTCCTTTTCCATAAATCATTTTGTCAGCTCAAACTCTTTGTGATTGATTAGAAAGAAGAATGCATCAAAATGATGCAC